AAAATAATAAAGATTTGGGGGACTAATATTGAGAAAATACAATAAAAGAAAGAAATACTGAACTTTTAACAATAAAATTCATCGCATCAAATATCCAATATACCTCATCCAAGGGCATTGTCGACAATTCAACATTCTTCGACATACGAAGCTTCCACTCTTTTCCTCCTCGATGATCACCTCCGTCTCATTGATGAGATTTTCCGACTTCAAGCTGAACGCCACAAGAGGCTGCTGATGTGGCTCTGGGGTCAGGTCTAGGTGTTGAGTGCTCGGATTATGTTCTCATAATAGTCACAGCATTTGATTGCTGGAACATATTCCTGGTAGCCTTCATTTGCTGCTCCAGTACCACAATTCTCGGGTTGAATCGCCTCATTTGTTGCTCCAGCATCACAATGCTAAGGATTAATCACCTCATGTGTTTCTCCAGCTTCACGAGTCTTGGGTTTAGTGCCTCGCTTGTTGCTCCATCTCCAGAACTCTGGGGTTTAATCATCTCATGTGTTGCTTCTGCTTCACTATCCTGGTGTTTAATCGCCTCGCTTGTTGCTCGAGCTTCACAGTTCCGGGACTCAATGCGATTAAACTGTGGAGTTGCAAGAGGTACTGAGCCCAATAAATTTATTGCGTCAGTAACAAAGGTTTAGGACTTCATAACAAACCGGAAGGCACAGGACTAGCCAATGAGGCCTATCGATTACAGTCAACTTACAGGACGCAAGGGAAGACCCAGTGGACTTAAGACACAATTTGGGATTAGGATGATGAAACTCGCACCAAACTTACAGTCTCCAGGCTTCATGTAGTAGTGGAATTCAGGTTCGTCAAGCCTCAGGAAAGATATTCTCCCTCCGCAGGTATCTAACAAGTGATAACCTCGCTGCTGCAGTTATGTCAATTCCCCAGCAATGACTGTTGTCACCACCCCTCAGAAATTTTAGATATCCCCTTCATCTTACTAGTCTTTTTCATGATAGTTTTCTAGTTTAAGATATCTCCTCCATCCTACTTGTCACCTGCCCAACCTTTTCCCCTTCAATCCCAGACTCCCTTGGTCTCCTTCGGTTGTCCTCTTCTGCAAGAAAATTACAGTTCACTGGCAGAATAATCTCATCCATGATCGCCAATCACCACAAGAGCTCAATTGGGGGTCACTTAGCAGCCAAATCAATACCCGAAATCCTGAAACACCTGGAGAAAAGCCCAATCCACCCTTCAGAATAGTCTCCTTCGCATGCGACCTCATGAGCGATCAAGAAGAGCAAGCCATAAACGATGCACACACATTACCAAAAGTGTCCCTTTGACCGTCTGAGCTTGTGCTTCTTGTATGCTGTTGCAAGTAAAGCATGCATTCCTGTCAGACAATGTTCTGACGTTGCAGCATGCAGTTCGGGTCTCAACCGATTGACCAGTTTCACCTATACAGGTCATTGGCAGTGCATAATTAATAAAATTAGAAGCGCACACGTCTTAGATTGCAAACCAAAACTAATGTGCTTGCCTGGGGTCCGTATAGCTGGAAGGTACTGGCAGGGATCATCAGCCTCTCTTTTGTCCAGCTGTTACAAATTAAGGAACAAATAACTTAACATGGTCTAGAAACATGTCAATTGGAACATATATGAAGGTATATCTTACTCCATCGAAAAGAGACTGGAAGCTCATACCTGCAAGGATTCAAAGACAAGGTCAGCTTGTATAAAGCCTTCACCAATGCTTCCTTAGGAATGTTTAATGATCAATTAAATTCTTGCTGGCTTGTTTTTCTTATAAACAACAACTAGCAAGGATAATAACGTAACAACATACACTAGATTTGATCTACCTCCAGATCATTCATGCAGGGACCCAGCTAGTACAATATGGTAACAAGCACCTTAACATGCACTATTTCATAACTTAAACTAGGAATCAATAAATATTTAATAAATAATTTCCATTTAAATATAAAAAAACACAGCATCCGACAAAACAGAGGTAATGAATGAGAACTAGAATACGCTATTCTCTTTGCTTTAGTTAATTATGATAAACTAATGGTTCAGCTATGGTCAAAAGAAAAGAACCACGATCCATGCTCCAGCGCTCTCATCTCATCTTCTATAGCTTTTCACTAACTTGATTTGACAATGCTTTTGACAGACTTAGGAACAGGATTAGAGTGGGTAAAAGAGATAAAAGGATGATATTGTGTTGAGAGATGAGCGTAAGACAGGAAATCAAATAAAA